AGTATGCCAAATATGACCAAAGCAGGATGATATATCTGTTCCTGAATGTTAGAACTATAAAGCAATTACTTAGCACTCAGCTAAAATACTTAATCTGATAAATCTCTGCTTAGCAAGCAATAAATAACCATCCTAAGTATTACTTTTGAAATACTACATAAATACAATTTATCTAGGACAAGAAGAGGTTTAGGGAAGAAAAGGCTTTTAGAAATATTATTACCATTAACTAATATTAACACAAAAGTGACAATTAAATTAAAACTAGAGGCCAGGCACAGTGGCTCACATCTGTAATTCCAGAGCTTTGGGAGGCTGAAGTGGGAGGACTGCCAGGGGTTGGAGTCTAGCCTGGACAGCACAGCAAGACCCTGTCTCTACAAAAATTTTTAAAATTAGCTGGTGTAGCGGTGCATACTTGTAGTCCCAACTATCTGTGAGGCTGAGGCAGGAGGATCACTTGAGTCCAGGAGTTCAAGGTTACAGAGAGCTACGATGATGCCACTGCACTCCAGCCTGGGTGACACAGTAAGACCATTCTAAAAAGAAAAACAACACTAACAACTACAACTAAAAAAAAAAAAAAAAAGCATCTGTGGTCTTTTATAGATAGACAAACCTTGTTTAAATCCAATTCTACCCTTCATGAGATACTTGGGAAGGTTATCAAACTCTCTAAGCCTATTTCCTCTTTATCTGTAAATGGAGAAAACCACCACCAACTGACAGGGTTATTTAAGAAATTAGTGATAATTAGTGATGATACTGCATAAATTAACATATCTGTGAAATCTTACATATCATAATATTGTATAGTGGCATGAAAAATTGACATAGTTAATAAATGGCAATGATTACTTTTCAAATATAGCTCTCTAGGCAACATAGAACAGATCACTAAGCAGTCATACAGCACACTATCCAGTCAATTCCTGACCACACTGACCAAATTACACAGAGTGCAAACAGCCAATAAATCCAGCCCCACTCCTGGGTGTGAAATGCTTATAGTGACTTTTGCAGTAAACCAGCCATGTTCAGGTGCAGCTATATATAATGGAAACAATGGCTGGCTATGCTCAGATCGCTCAGGAAACATTACGGCCCCCACACCAGCCCTCGGATGTGTCACGGGCCCATGTCCACCCTGCTGTTGCCCGCCCAGTGTCTGCAAGTGCCCAGCAGGTGATGCCACTGCACTCCAGCCTGGGTGACACAGTAAGACCCTGTCTCTAAAAAGAAAAACAACACTAACAACTACAACAGCAAATCTCTTTAACTGCGTCTACACACACCCACTTGATATTACTCCGGGGCAGAGGTCCAATGCTAGAACAACCCAGAGTAAAGAGGAGCATCCTTAAGAATTTTAATAGGAAATCAGTCAGAAACCTCGCAGTCTTCTTAAAGGCCTTGCTAAGCCAGCAGCAAGGTTCCACTGTGACAAGAAGAAATCAGAAATTCAGTGGAAGAAAAGTCCGTCAGCCGGTAAAGGAGAGCAGAGGCTGAGATCAAAGGAGACAGTAACAGGGCTACCACTGCGCAAGTGAAAGCCGAGAGACACACCCGCCACAGACCAGAGGAGGTGGTACGCAGCCAAGGACCCACACGTTCCCCAGATCTGCTCCCTCCTGTCATTTGCCTCAGCGCAGGGTCCACCCTAGCCAACGAGACCAGGTTCACTTGTGTGGTTTCTGAGCGAGTGTTATGTACTTGGAAAACCCATGAGAGGCACAGAGCGAGGTTCACCCTGGAGCAGGAGTCCGCATGCACGCAGGCACCCCGAATACACATCTGGAGGTGGAACCAGCACAGGCGCTGGACGACCCACTGCAGTTCTCCTCCCACGCCTGCACCTCCTCCAGGTGGCTGCAGTCGTAGGCACCCCTCTATCTTCAAACTTCAAGTGTAGTAACTTGGCTGGGTACCGCAGCTCATGCCTGTCATCCCAGCACTTCGGGAGATGGAGGTGGGAGGGCTACCTGAGCCCAGGAGTTCGAGACCAACCTGGGCAAATTGGTGAGACCTCATCTCTACAATAAATCAAGAAAAATCAGGCAAGCGTGGTGGTGTGCCCCTGTAATTCCAGTTACTTGGGAGGCTGAGGCAGAAGGATCATCTGAACCCAGCAGGTCAAAGCTGTGGTGACCACAATTGAGCCACTGTACTCCAACCTGGATGACAGAGTGAAACTGACTCAAAAAAAAAAAAAAAAAAGTGCCAGCAACTTGAATTCTCAAATTACTTTACCTTTCTTTTCTTTAAAAAAAAAATAAAAGGATTTCTGGAAAGGGGTCAGTTTCTAGCATCTTCAATTGCGCTAGAGACAGGATGTGCAATGTTAAGAACAAGCTCCCCAGGTACGGTGGCTCACGTATGTCATCCCAGCACTTTTGGAGGCAGAGGTGAGAGGACTGCCTGAGCCCAGGGGTTCTAGAACATTCCAGGCAACTTGGCAAGACCTCATCTCTACAATAAATCAAAAAATTAGCCAGGCGTGGTGGCGTGTGCCTGTAGTCCCAGCTACTCGGGAGGCTGAGGTAAAAGGATCATCTGAGCCCAGAGGTTCGAGGCCGTGTGTGTGCCACTGCATTCCAGCCTGGCCAACAGAGTGAGACTCTGACTCAGGAAAAAAAAAAATTGGAAATTTAAAACTGTAACAACTCACAAAACAAAAACACCCCACTCAAATCTGGAACTCAGCCAAGTGCCATGACTCATGCCTGTAACCCCAGCACTTTGGGAGGCCAAGATGAGAGAATAGCCTGGGCCCACGAGTTCGAGACCAGCCTGGGCAACTTGGCGAGGCTTCGTCTTTACAAAAAATCTAAAAATTAGCCGGGTGTGGTGGCGCGCGCCTGTAATTCCAGCTACTTGGAAGGCTGAGGCGGAAGGATCGCCCGAGCCTAGCAGGTCGAGGCTGCGGGGGCCGTGAGCGTGCCACTCCACTCTCGGCTGGGCGACAGAGTGAGCTTCCGACTCAAAACAAAAAGGGTTTCTGGAAAGGGATCCGAGATAGACATCTTCAATCGCCCTAGAGACAGGACGGGCAACGTGTGCAGCAGGCAAAAGCCGGACCCCAGACTCCCCCAGGCACAGCGGGAAGGTCCGTCTGGAAGTCCCTCCATGAGCTCTCGCTTTGGCCGATGCCCACGGGCCAAGTTGTTGCATCCTCCCGAGTTGAAGGCCGGCCTCCACGTCCCAGGGCACCGCCGTCTCCTTCCGGGCTCACAGGTGCAAAAGCCGC